TAAACCTTGCTGATTGAACCTACACGGTCTCCAGGAGTTCCTTGGGCTAGGCCTGACAGTTTTCCACAGCCCAGGCCATCCAGATGAGTTGAATTATGAGCCGCTGCCATAATTACTAGCCAACACAGCTACTTGTTATAAAACACCAGCACATATAGAAGCTATTAGGCTGGGGAAGGTTGTAATATCTGAAAATGTATCTTACTACCATAAAGGTATGAGCAATCTAACTTGCTGATTCAATTATTAACAAGCTTAACACTGCACTCAGTAAATGTTTAAATGTTAAATATTGCCTGAATCATCTTCTAAACATTTAAATAATACAATAAATTATTTATTTATATACTCAATGTGATTTGTGTTGAAATAAGAGATGTGAAATATGAGATTATTACAATAAATTGAATTAGTGGAATACAAAGCAAAATCCAAATATTGTAGCAGTATAAAAGTCCATAGATATGGCAAGAAAAAGAGAGCTAGAAAATGATGGTAAACATTCCTAGAACCTGAGAAGATATTTGAAAAATGGCCTCAGAAACTGTTTCTAACCTTATTTAGAGATTAATAACTGTAAAATTTTCCAGAAAGGACAGCTTAAATTATAAGTGTTGCTGCCCACCATATCAAGGAAAGCAGACATTCTGAATAATCCTTTAAAAATATTTTCATTTGACAGAAACTCCAGTTCAGTGCTTGTAGACTGAAGCTATCAAACCATTTTACTTTATAGTCAAAAAATTTAAGCCAAAACTCTGGTCTGAAATTATACTTATGTGTGCAAACAGCGACATATTTGTAAATAAATGTGCAGAAACCAATTCCTATTAGGTATTCTCAATTTAGAAATAAAAGTCTGTTACAGGGTTTCTAGCAGGTGGTTCTTCACCGTGTCGGAAGCACAGAGGTAGACTCAGTAAACTATCAGTGGTTCACTGCCTGGTAATTTATTTGGTTCCATTTTTTCATCAGATCTGACCATCATATTTTAACAAAACTGGATTTAGGGTGCAATCCTACACACATATGCCTGGCAGCTAGACCCAATGAACGCAGTGTCTGAGCAGTTATTATTCAATTATAAAGAAAGAAACGGGATCTTTTATTTTCTGTCATTTACTACTTCACTTTTAATGTAAAGGACTGATATAAATTTAGTACTTTCATTCAAACAACTGTTTTCAATCACTAAGCAGAAAATCTATTTAAGTTTGTACAATAGTATAAAAAGATGTATATTGGTTTGATGTGATAACAAGCATGTTTGGGGAGGGGCAACACTGATGTGCTAAGCTTGATTTCAAATCCTGTTTCTTTAGATCTATGGTCTGCTCCTTCCCAAAGGGTAAAAGTGACCTTAAATTACAATAAAAATATATATCCATCCAGCCAAACTATTTGTTACAGATGATAAAATATTGTTAAATATGTTGTAGAGAGAAACAAATACTAATTAACTGATGTTCACTAACACTTGTACCACTGACTTCCAACAAAAATTAGAGCTTGTTCACTATTTGACAAACCTCCTGGTTAGAACAGATTCCTGGCATCGAGAAATGTGGCAACAACTCTTCATTCCATAGTCTTTTATAAACCAAAAATCCCAATGTTATATTTAAAAGAAATGTTCAATCCCCTCAAACACTTCCATTCTCTCATGTCATAATTTCAACACTCAAATAATTTCTTGTTGAATGCATTTGTTACTGCAGCTAGTCTACAGTAGAGAGTGGAGGGCAGAAATTGAATCTGAGAAGTATAAACATCTCTATTTCTTAAATTAGCATTTTACGTGAGTCACAGATTTTTCAACACTTATACTAAAAGAGTCCTAATAACACAGCTTATGCTCTATGTTCATTACTCTTCTTGAGAACTTTTCTCCAAAGTCAAACATGGGAGTTGGTTAAAATCATGTGAAAACACAGAGTACAGGGATCCTACTGACCTAACCAAGTACAAGACCATGACTATTACAAAATATTAATGTTTACACAAAATAATAATTTAATATGCTTATTTTGTTCTAAAAAGCTGACATTCTTTGCAATTTGTTTCTTCTCCACTAAATTAAGCAGGAAGAGATGACAGAACTGGTACACAAAAAGCCTCCGGAGATATTAAATAACTTTCAACATATCTAATGATCCAACTGTAAGGACCAGGTCTGCTAAGCTACATCCACTTTCTATACAATGTCACATTTTTCAATAGCAATAGTGCTTTCCATTTCTTTAATAAGAAGGATGGTGACTGAAACCTTTTTAACAATCTACATCTGTAAGTCTTCTATTCTCCCTTGTCACAATACACACTTGCCAAACATTAATCTCATAGTAGAATCCAGATCACAGTTTAGCAAATGAAATGGCGGGGGG